TGATTCAGGCATCGGTGACCATATGTGGCTTCGCATGATCAAGTTCATCCGAAAGGTAAAAGTTATGAAAGAGATTTACCTGTGATGAGTGAACCTTCCTCTGTACACCTGGAACCGCTGTGTCGTACGTCTTAAAGTATAATGTAACTGTGAGACAAGACAGAAGGTATCCCCCAATTGGCCTTAGCGTATCCGCGGTGGATCTTTTTCACCCTTTACAAGGTCATTCATTACCTATATCGGCCATTTTACATTATAGAGTAGAAATCAAAATTTTATACGTTATGTATCGGGGATCGAACCCACAACCTGTCGCTTGATAAATGTGTGCTGTACCATCCAAGCCGACACAGTTCTAAGAAGAAATTGGATCAACCCATCCTCAGACCATTGTCCGAGAGCGAATGCAGCATAAGCGCAACAACCAAGCCTTAGATGAAATGCATTTTTATATAGTGTGTATAGTAGTATTTATATAGTCATTACCCGGTAAATTGAATGTCATTTAATCTATTGCCAAGTAATAGAATTGAGCCAGTCACCATAACTCATGAGTTAATGCAAGCATTGACTACAGCAGCATACTTAACATGTAGCTCTGGTGGCAGGTGCTCGAGCTAGTCTCCCCGTTCTTCGATGAGCGTTCGACGTGCTCGACATTTCTGTTGTAGAGTTGTGTTGTTTCATAAGTGGTGAAAAAAGAGTGAGTGATATTTGTAATTTATCAGCAGCGGTGATATGCCTTTGTTCCTTTTTCAGTCAGAGTAGAGTCGGAGCGTTTAGCGCGTAATGAAATAAAGGCGCTTTAGACTTAATTGAATGTGCTTTTATCGAAATGGTGAATCAAAGATCTAAATTTCAGAGTTGTGGCTATAAGCTGTCATTTCTTCGTATCTACGTTCACAGTCATTACGTAATGTAGAAATCTACTTGTCAACAGTATGTTATCAAATGTAAATCAAAAAGGTGATTGCGTTGTTGGGGACGTTACTTCGGAGGAAAATTTCCTGGTGAGGCCCAAGAAACAGTCACAATATTCCGTAACTATGGTGGAGAACGAACCCACGTTCAGTCGATTATTAAGCTACGAAGCGGTTTATCTCGGTGCAGTGGTCAAGTATCAAGAAGACTCGCATGTCACGGCTGGAACACTTCAAACTATACGAACGAAACTCTGGATATAAGGAAGGTAACAACTTGGGCTCCTGCGTCAGTAAAACCTTTTAAAGAAAAGTATTAATCACATTTCAACAATTGAATTTGTGGAGAGTTTGGTGTTGACGTGTGCAGGAACGTGCATACTCCAGCTGGCAGCAACTCGAGATTAGTAAAGCCATCGGAAGTTGAAGCGTTTGTGGCAGCACCTCGAGATTAGTAAAGCCATCGAAAGTCGAAGCGTACTCGTATCGAGAGCTTTCCATTTGATGCGCTCCCATCAACGTTAAATTTAATCGGTTCTTCCATAACCCAGTCATGCGTCCCCAGATAGTCATAGAGCAATTATCTTGGAAAATCACGCTCTTTCTTCAGCATATTTCTTCGTTAACATGAATACGTGTTGAAAGAAAAAAATCAGCTTAAAAGCGAATGTCGGCCTTGATGGGACTCGAACCCACAACCCCCTGATTAGAAGTCAGATGCGCTATCCATTGCGCCACAAGGTCATTTGAGAGGGAACGTACTTAGGTATAGATGTTTTACAAAAAGCTAAAATACGCAGTCATTAGAAATTTAAAATATAACCTTGGGAAAACATTTCTTGTTGTATTGGTTTAGTCTAGTATAAATTACCTACTTCGATATTTAAATGCTTGACCTTACACTCCAGGTAAGATTTCTTAACTGATCTAGAAGTATTATCGAATACAAACGTAAAAAAACATAGTAGATTCATATTGGCTGCCATACGAGAGTCCGTCGAAAAATTTTACTCAATCTTGCTCAAATCAAACCTGATATATGGAAAATAAAATACATGCTGCTCCTTCATATATACCTTGTTCACTTGCAATACCAAAGTTCTGATCAGCATTAGCAGCACATGGACAACTATTTTTATTGTCGTAACTCTGATTTCGTACCTGTAAATAGTTTTTCTCTTCTCAGATTCTCAGAGAAGAGAAGAGAAGAGAATTACTACATTACTTGATCACAGAACTCATTCGTGAAAATGTCGAGAGCCAAGATGGGCGGGGCGGTGCACCAAAAAAATCAAGCTCTATTGTATTCCGTGAAGGTTGAGATTAAAAAGACGTAAGAGGAGCAGCTCAGCGAGAGTCAAGGTCAGGAGTGCTGGTCCTTACCATGTAAAGTAAGAAAATAGATAACACAAAATACTGTTTATCTTATTCCTTGATTCGAAATATGATCTCAATTTAGGTATGCTTATATTTGGATGGAGTTCCGAATCGATTGGAAGCAAAAGACATCAGAGGCAACGCACTTTTTTTTTGTACAGCTTTATGAGTCATAAACTTACCTCTTCTAGAAAGTCAAGGCGCATTGGGCGAGAGAACAGATTGACGATAGCTGTTGTATAGGATATAGGTTTGCCTATATTCCAAAACGACTTTACAAATGTTTCCGTTTCCCAAACATTTGTAAAGTCATTTTTGGCTTACAAATGTTTCTGCTTCCCAGCTACGTGAGCTACGATCACCGGTCGAGACTGGAATTAGCGACTAATATCTCGGTCTTCGGGTTCTACAGTTGCTGAATCAGATATTATCAGATGAGAGCTGGGGTCCGCAACACTGAATTGGTCGAAAGGAAAGAGCGAGTCCTGCATTGCGATCGTCAGGGCTTACCCCGTTGAGACATGCAGCGGGGCTGCCGTAGCTTTCTGCTTGGAGGAAGCTATGCTAAGGTCACCGATCTAACGTTCTTTACATGAAACAGTATGAGTGCAGCGGGTCACAATCCGCTGCCTCCGAGAATACTTAAGACCTTAATTAAAGCAAATAAACATTTTTCTTCAAAATTAAAACTGTATTTAATTGTTTTAGTTGCGGCAGAGCTGCCAATATCTAAAACCCTAGGTTTTCCCATGATTTAGTAATGCGTAATTAATTTACTAGAACCTAATTAATATGCATTGTGGCTTCTTGTTACGGTGTAGCCACATCACTGTGTTATTACACCAACTGTTAAATACACACCTATGTACGGTCGCACAATCTTGTGCGACCCGCGCTTCCTCACTGTTTGAAATGCTGAAGAATTATGCCGTTGGTCGGATACTGACGGACTTGACTTGTTATCCACCGAGCTGCACTAAAGTGTTAGCCCACCGAACTTCAACCAAGTTGACCTCTTTTAATGGGTAGCGGGACAAGCACAATGGCATTAAACCGCAGACCTAGTCTCAGAGTTGGTTGTGTGATGTTCAAAACAAGTTCAACAAGCACGGGCACTTTTAGGCTGCTACCAGGATAAAGTTGCGAGTGCGGCGACAGGAAGAGGAAATTGACGTGAGTAGTTTGGGTAAATTAAGAAGTAAATTTATTTTTGTTTAAGGTCCTTAGTTAGCGAGCGTTACCTCTAAGCCTTCGAGTCACAACAGATTTTTTCAACTCGCCAATCGTATATCGTATATCGAGCAGTGTACATATTGCCCGCAATCATGTGTATGTAGTGGCATCCAATATACTAAAAAATGAGAATAATTAATCGTGAGTGACGTTCTCCACCCTAATTGAGAGAACGATGCACCACCACTCCTTTCAACACTCACAAGGGCACGGGTAAACCCGTTACACTCTACTTCATTAAAGATTGTGAATACTCTCAATTCATATTTAACGGTCGCCTCATTCGAGGCTCCGTGCCTTCACGTTCATAGGAACAGCTTTAAGCCTTTTTCGCTTTATGAGCACAGTGTGTACGACTCAAAAAACACCCAGCCTAGTTGGTAGCGAGGACACCCGCGGGCAAAGCCCTTCTTCTTCTTCTTCTGCACAGGGTGCATTCCCGGACAGTACGTCCGCGGCTTCACAGGAAGCACATCCCAAGGTCCGTTCATCGACCTCTCGGTTCCCGGGGAAGTGGTTTTATTACCAATCGCCCGGACGAGGCACAGGAGCAGCAATTGGAGGCTGCTCACAGGGCGGCTCTCCTGCGCTCGTATCCACGTCTGATCATGAATCCTCGTTTAGAATACGGCTTTCGCTGGCGGATCCCGCTACTGAAGCGAAAGACGCGATCACCCGATCTTCCGGCATCTACAATGTCGGGCCTTCGGCCACTACACTTGCTGAGCTTGATCAGCGGAGAGCTCTGCGAGCTCGTTTTTTGGTACCACACGAGATCGTAATGGATCAGTACCGCGCTAGACCACGAGCTCAGAAAGGAGGTACTCCTGTTCCCGCAATGCGGACCATCCCTGTGGTGCTCGCCTCTGGTGAAATTGCTGCAGATGACGATGAGCTCTTTAAGCGATGGGTGCAGCGACATTCGAAACTGTCTTTGCTGTCTTCCTTGCATCGAAGCCACAAGGAAGTGGGCTTGCGCGCTGAGCGCAATCTTAGATTTGAGTTTGCCAAACTCAAGGCACAACGCCGACTTCCTGCGGATTGTAGCCCTTTGACATATGAAATAATTTTTAACGCTCTCGCACGGGTAAGTCTTCGACCACAGTAGTCTAGGGCCATAGCTTGAGCTCAGCTCATGGCCTTCCGGCTTCCCGGACTACCACCGAGAAGCGCGGTGCGCAAGACTGCGCGAAGCGTCATGATTTTTTTGATCATAAGCGTCTTTGACGTCTGGGCAGTCTTGCCGGAGTGGCACTTATAACTCCCACGATTTCTCTGAGCTTGGATATCCCCACCACTTCACTAGATATAAGGTTAAACTCTTTCTACGACATCAACCCACAAGGCGTTCCACGTGGTAGTGGGCGCCGCCATTCTCATCAAGCAGAGTTGGCGGCGGACGATGGCGACTTGGTCGATCGCCATCTGGTGACTCGAGATGCTCTTCGAGCGTTGAAGGACAAAGTCAGCCGTCATCTGCACTCTGCTGAGCATTTCTGTGAGGCCGCCTACCGCTGTACGGAAGACCTCGAGAGTCTGGAGCACTTTGTGCACCGACAGCCTAGCGTTGAGGACTATCGTACTCTATCGGGCGGCTCATAGCCGTCGAGCAGGTGAATACGCCACTTCGTGCGACGGTGGGGCGCTTTGCGCCGTTGGAAACGGAAATTGTTGTACTTCGTGCTTAGAACGAGTTGTTAATTCAGCTTCTCGATGGCCGAGCGTCTTTATGCGCCGCCCCGGCACCAACGCTTCCACATTCACTTGCGCCGGATACCGGTACTGCTAAAGCAAGGCCTCATCACATTCCGTGTGACTGTTCATCCGTTTCGATAGGTTCAGCGTATACGCTCGGCGTTGTTTGGGCACGACCTATAAAGGTGCAATAAACCATGGATGGAGCTACGTCTTAGAGACAGCAGAAACCGGATGTGTAAGAAGTTTCTTAGTATTTTATAGAACAAGAATTCCGACCTCAATTTTTCAACATTTTTTCCTGCTGCATGTCTTCCTTTCATCCATCGCATCGCGAGCGTGTCGTAAAACACTTAGTCCAGTAGACAGGAAGTCTTCGACTTATTTACGCACAGTGAAAGGGCTATCACCAGCTAGCCGTTCGGATATTCCTCCTCCACTAAGCCCTGAGCATGGCGGCGTCAGCGGGACGCGAGGATTATTAAGCTCGTTAAGGTTCATAACTCACCAAAGCTCCACTAGAGACGTGTGCGTAGCGCCCAAGGTCTTCAATTCATGGCTCATGGTGTTCCAACCCGGCCATATCAAGGATGAGGTCATACCTTGCATTCAAGAATAAGACTAGACCGCGTTCCACGCTATCAAAGTCAAGGAACTTGACATCGAGGTCAACAGGGACCCTCGGCACAATGGCATAAGTCCCCGTCGCTAAGCGAACAGTAACGGTGTCACTTAACCGCGCTTTTAGCGCCTCAGCATACAGCTGTCTACCTTTGATCATGGAGCGTCGAGCATAATCGCCCGGCGAACCAGAATCGATAAGAATTTCCATGGCTTATCAAAGCCTTCCCCGGTCGCTTTAATGACCAGCAAGCGTGGCTTGCACACACGTTCTGTCTTCCAGAGCACGGAGTTTACGGCGCTGGGCCCTGGTGCCCTCTGGTGTTTACACGCTGCTCAGCAGCTCTCCTCCTTCTCAGCATAGCTAAAATCTATGGCTCAGTTCTGCTCGACGAGTTCTGAGGGTGTGCATTCCAACCAAGTCGTGCCGATTTGAAGTTGAGTTCGGCATTCAATGCAATGTTCACCGCGCACGGAAAACTTCCATTCTGGCCACGCCATTGCGGAGGCCCTCCATAAAGACGGTCACTTCGACCGCCTGGAGGAGATGGTCTGCAGCCATCCCGGCAATGAAAATTCTCAACTCCCAAACATAGTCCTCCAACACCATCTTGCCTTGCCGGACAGCAAGGAAACGCAATTTCAAG